GAGTCGCTTGGTCAAGGTGCGTCTACGGGGTGATTAGCGAGTCAACAACTTCGGCTAATTCCTGAAGTGGTGAAAGTACACCAACCACTTCAGCATGAGTAGAAGCAGCTACAACCTCTACTGGCCAGATGTGTTTCCCTCGTTTGTGCTCGTAGAAGCACCACCCTGGGCGGAAGATCCCCCAAAACCACCTTTGGGCGGAATCTTATGAGAGACCTTTGCGTAATTGCACCTAAACTGTTGATGGTCATACTCACCACAGTTGATGCAAGCTCCTCACAAATATCGGCCCCTCCATACATCTTGATCCTGGCCAGCGCTCACCCAAGTCGGAGTCTTGTTTGAGTTATGGACCCTGCACCTGACTCGTTTGTTGACCGCCCTTGCCGCGGCCAGCGGCCTTTCCTTCGGTGATTGTAGCGAGGTTGCTACCCTCCACACTATCCTCACTGCCTATCTCTGTCTCTTCCACAAGATCAAAGAGGTCATCGATCTCGGTTTGATTCCTATCAAATCAACCTTCATCAATCGATTTCCCTTTTCTTCCACTCTTGTGGAACCTTCTTCTTTCTCCCGTCTACTGCTATCTGTTGAGCCAACTTTGCCTCTAAGTCTCTAAGGCCTTGTTGCTAAAGGTCTCAAGGGTGTGATACTCGATAATGGCCTCACTAACCATTATATTTTTTATGTTTGTGGGAAGACATCTCAAGAACATGGTTAGGAGGACTAGGGGATCATAGCGAACTCCCGAAACTACCACCAGTTTCTCTATGGCACTCGTGAGGTCCCGCACAGTCTCGTACTTCTTAGTATCAACTCGAGCCAACGCATCAATGGCTTGTTGAGCCTGCTGAGGGTTGTGCCATCGCGCTTCTACCAAGTCCATTAAGCTTTCTAAAGTCTGGGTTTGCGCCCAGTCGTTCATTCGCCTAGCGAATCCCTTTGTTGCTATGTGCCCATTCAACCATCTTGTTGCCGATCCTTCTAAGTAGGAAGCGGTAGTGATCACTTCCTCCTCACGCAGAGTACGCTTGGCCCTCACCCACAATGGAACCGTTCTCAATCAAGTGTCGAGGGCCTCATCCTTCTCGTCTCTTGTCAAGACGATCAGGGGTTTCATTAGGGTCTTTGGGTACCAAGGTCCAATTTGTCCAGCTTGTTGAGCTGGTGATTGGACCTGCTGCTGCCCTGCAGCTGCAACAGCTGGACCTGAATATGAAGAAGCAACAGTCTGTGCTGCTGCTGCTTAAGCACCACCTGATATGATAACGAATTGGGGAACAAACGGGCCTGTCACCGCTGGTAAAGGAACAGGCGATGTAGAGACTGGCTGCTTCCGAACACTTTGTCCACTAGGTACGGGGGGTTGTGGACCTCCTCTTCCCTGCACGGGGGTCAGTATCTGGTGCAGGGTTGACTGGATTTCATCCAATCGGCTGTCGAAATACCGATTCATATTCAGCAGATTCGCCCGGATGATCTTTCGTGCATCATCCAAGATCAAATCATCTAACCCGTCTAATGCAGCCTTGTCTGCCTCTCTGCTCTCCAATCTAGCTTTACGATTTCTAATTTGGTCTTGTCTTTCGCTAGCGTCTCTCGGTTGCTTGTCTAGCTGTAAGTCGAGCAACTCTACTTGTTCGAGTTGTAACTTCCCTTTAGTAGGTGAAGATGGTTGGCTGTACTGCGGGCCTGCCATCTGATTTGTGGAGGGTCTTGCACTCATCCCACTGGATGAGACAAAGGACATAGCGAAGGTTCCTAACGTTTGCTGACCTTGAGAGGTCGCTGCAGATGTAGCAACTGCTACTGCGCTAGCTGCTGCTGCCGCTAACACTTGTTCCGTATCTGTTGCTGCCTCCCTAACGGTCTGCAAATGCTGGGCCCTTGCTGCGGCCCAGAATCTTCTCTCGTCCCCTGGTAGCAGAACCTGAAACAGTACTGGAATCCTCTGTGCATCCCGCCGTGTTTACCTCCTATCATCAGCTGTCTCCTCCCCACTATCAGTACCACTCATCGGCTAAGCAGAATCCTGTCTGCACTAGTGCCCTCACTGGGCCGTACCACAGCATGTGTCTAAAATAAAATAGATAAATATTTGGCAAGTCAACCAGGCTACCACCGATCAAGTGGTTTCAACAGAATATACACTGACTGGGCAAATGATCTATTCCTACTTCAATTACTTCTCACACAGCAGCGTCAAACAGAACTGGCTATGGTAGACTACTCAGTTCTAATATAATGCTGTCTGTTAGGTGTTAGCAGTCTGTCACCTCAACTAATCAAAATAAAAATAAATCAAGTGCACAGATGCATGCAGAAATGGGAATAATAGTGTTTGTGGAGCACCAATTGGAACTTTCCCTTCCCCTGTATCCGATGATCCTGACTTGCATCATCAAGCAGCAGTGTCTATCGTGTGCACAACGACCCACCCCTGTGCCCAGGAAACCACTTATGACCAGTTCTGCCCGTTATTTATCATTGCGTGCAACCAGCCTTACATCCGATTGATCTGGCTGATCAAGAGGCAATTTAAGGACAGCCCCGAAGTCCTCAAGAATTATTTAATGTCACAGACAGGACAACGATCACAGCCAGAGATCAGATCCCGCCAGAGGTTCTTTATAGACGGTCTGGTCGACATTTGGTAGGACTGGCCAGTCGACGTTCCCTCTACAGCGCAGCAAGAGCTTAAAGGACAAAGCAGCAAAGCATGCGTGCTCTACTCCCATGGGTTGGCATGGTGACCGCGACCCGTGCTTCGACCAGGGCCCTTCATAGGCACTGCCCACTCCTTCCAGATCCGCCACCAGGAAGAATGTCGACTCTCAAGGTAGAGCGCTCACAACTCCTGAACCAGAAGACGACACTCAAGTTGGACTCACTTCCTCACGGTAAGAAGAGATTGAGGAAGAGATTGACATAGGAAGATAAGCTTAGGAAACAACATACCTGAAGATAGCTGCCCCCAACCACAGATTTCTCACCAATTGAGCTGGCGTGCATTTTGATGACCAGCCATAGCCTCGGTACCGCACACAATGCAATGGAGTGCCACCTCAGCCAAAATGTCATATCAGCATGCTCTCATCATCCCACATACAACGGTTGTCGCCACAGCTCCCACGCTGTCGCCACAGCTTTCTGGCGATGCTCCCCCCTACCCGGGAGACGCCAATCCAAACCAGCGCCAATGCATCCTTACTGCATAGAAGCTTCGTCAGCACACTGAACACACCGAGTAACAAAGTAGCCACCGCCTGTGATGGCGATATCGAACCAGCTCCAATACCAAATTCGCAAGAAATGTGAGCAAGAGCGATAGACAGAAAACCAAATTGCAAAATCACGAAGTAGTCCAGATAGTCATGTACCAAGCAGAGAGCACAATGCACCAAGATTCCATCCAAATAAGAGCAATACAATGAACTCGAGTGCCAATGTCAATGCCCCCTCGTCACACCAACACTATATCCAATGTCACTCCTACTGTCCAGAACCCAGCGCCCAGCCTACTCTACTCAGCCTATCTATCCTATCTACGTTCATACGACAGGATCACATTGAAGTCGAAGACCAATGTACATGACGTCAACACCAACGCCGACCACCAGCATACACCAGGTACGTTCTCTCTCCTCCCCTCATCACACCTTGATCCCCTCTGCATGCACCTCCTACCCGAAGACCACCATCGCCACCACCTGCTACCGCACCCTCATCCCGGCTATGACCGCCTTGCGCCCGCTGCCACGCCAGCGCCCTCTCGCCTCTTAGTGCCCGCGTGCGCCAGAGCCTGCCTGCATACCGCAGTGTCACACGACAATGCTGCAGCGTGGCCGCAATGCCTGCTCAGGCCAGAATGTCCTGCCCAGGGGCACACACTTTCCTTTATGGAGAGTGTGTCCGCTGCTGGCTCGCCTGGCCAGGTGTGTGGGGCCCCAGTAGCTTGACTCTGGCCCGAAGTGTCTGCGCCCAGGCTCAGTTTCAGATACTGGCCCGGGCCTCATGCAGTTAGGCACGTCGAGGCAGCCACCCAGCCTCCAAGTGTTGCAGCATTCTCATTGGCTCGTGGCACATGTGTGACGGCAACACTGATTTCTCATTGGCCCGCGGCCGGTCCGTGATGTGTCGGCCTCATGCAGCGTGTGCCCAGTGCACAACCACCTGAGCCCTGGAGTCAACTGTACAGTGCAGACTTTGCTTCTGGAAAGAGCCTGGAGGCTCACATTGCTCTGTGGCCAACTGGCGTGCTGCAACTGTCTGAGTCCCCACATATGGAAAAATGTTGAAAATAGGCCTCATTTGAATATTCAGGCCCGCCTTCATTTAGGGTGGGCACGGGGCTTGCTGGGGGGCGCAGCCTAGAACACTTGTATGTCTGATAGGGGCCCCTCGACTCATTCCTTCCAGCTGTGTCATACTTTTAGTTTTGAATAGGCAAGAAAACACAAAGTGGCACTGTTGTTATGTTGTGAGTTTGAAAATGTGCAAGTCCAGCGCTGGTTTAAAAGTTAAAACTGTGCCAGTCATTAGCCGCTCTAGCGAATGCACTTTTAGGGTTGCCTTTTTTTACACCATTTCTTAAGAACGACTAAGTTGCCCATTCTTAACATGGGGTGTGAGTCGTGCGACTTCGAATTACTTGCCCCTTTCATTTTTTATTTTTTATTTGGCAAAGAATTCTGCTGTGACCAGGAGTTAAAAGTTGTTCAGTTTAATTTTCAGCACAACATAGCTCTTTCGAGTCTTTTGGATTTTTTTTGGCTTTTCATTTTTTTTACAGGGACCTTTCCTGGCCCTTGCCCCGCCCCGCTGCCACCGATGTGGCCCGGTTGGTAACGCAGGTTTTTGTTGAATTGCCAAGATCCCACCGTCAGAATGCATACGAACGTCACCAAGTCCAAGTACATATCAAGCACTTCTACGAGTTTGCCCTATTTCCTCCCCCCCCAAGTCAAGAATAGCACACTCGAGTGTGGCCAGATACGTACCAGCGTCTCCGCCCATTTGCATATGCACATGAAGCAGAAAGCATGTGAGCAAGCAAGAATTCCCTTGTCCGTGACCTCGTTCGGCGACGATAAGCAGATGATACATTGATACCCTCCACTAGGGCTGACAGGCGACCCAGCACCAGGAGATGTAACGGCATTTGCACCACCAGATTGGTTCGAACCAGCGTCAGGTGATGTGACAGTTTTATTCGCACCAGATTCTGTTGCCCAGCACTCACACACCGCCTGATCTGTGCTCATCGCCTCTGTGCATTGGGTCTGAGCAAAGTCGTTGCACGATGACCCCCTCTTCACTGCAGTGAAGTAACTGTACAAACCCCTTTGCAAATCGTTATGGCCACCACTAATTCGCCCTGGAGTCCCTGCGTTTCGGTTGACGTGGCCTGATGTTGAAGGCGCAGTAGAAGCGTTTGGCCTTTGAACAACAGAAGAAGAGACTACAGGCTCTTGCTGGCCACCTTGCTCAGAGTCCGTTATTGGCTGAACTCCGCACTCAACCAGCACAGCAGCCGGAATGCTCGACTCAGAAACCCCCTCAGGCAAGCAATGGGAAGCTGCCCGGGGGGGAACAAAATAAGAAGACTTCTCAGCATCTTCCTGACCTAGTCGCTTGCAGTTCCCCAACTGAGACATTTGTTCATCAGCCAGAGTGTCCGGACCACTCATCACGCGATCCCTGTACGGAAAGCAATGAGAAGTTTCAGTGATACCTCTACCATCCGAGGATCGCTTATGAGCCTCTTCCTTCTGTGGTTGCTTGGAGGCTAATGGCGGAGATCTGTCCTCGGCTCGCACAGCATCAGGCATGGCATTCAGATTATCCCCGTCAGCCACGTGATGAGACACCCTCTGGTGCTCATCGCACACCCATCTCTTCCTCTCTGTACATAAATCATTGACTGTCGTATGCATGTCTTCGTTACATGATGTGCCTTGCAGGAAACCAGCGTCGGTCGGGGGAGAAGAGGTTCCTGCACAGTTCATAGCAACAGATGATTGATGGGGTTTCTGAAAACTTCTCTTCCTCTCTGCAAATCGGTGTTCTGAATCAACTCTTCCGCCGATATGGAGGCAATGTGGAGCAGCTTGAAGAGAACGATCCGGACTGGATGTTGGTGCATGGGGATCAAGACCATGGTGATGAAGACCCCCACAGTGGATCCCTCCCAAGGCATTACGATGGGAGGCCGAGTCCGGCCCAAACACCTGGCAATGTGGAGCAGCTTGAGGAGAACGATCCGGACTGGATGTCGGTGCATGGGGATCAAGACCCCCCCAGTGGCTTCGTCCCAAGGCATTACGATGGGAGGACGAGTCTGGCCCAAACACCTGTGCCTCCCGACCAGGTGACACTCTTCCTGAAGCTGATGTTGGTAATCTGCTTCTGTTTTCTACTGTGCCTTCGCACTCCGAGCTTCTCACATCCAGTCGAATGCCAAGAGAATCGCGCTGGTCTGCTCCTCTGGTCGGGTTTGCAGGCAAGCTGCATTTTGTATCAGCCCTGGGACACTTGTCATCAACCACATCCAAGCCGAGAGGTGACCCTCTGGTCGTGGTTCCTGCATCGTTACCCTGTAAAGTGCCACAGAGCCCAGCCTTACAAGGAGGACCAGCCAAGTTGTTGCTGGAACAAGCCGGCATCATACACCCATTTGCAAACACCTTTGTAGTTACAAAACCTCCATCCCGATCACTCCCCACAGCAGTCTGTCCTTCACTCCCACCCTTGTCGGTGATGCCAGGCTGGACATTCTGGGCAGCCATTGCCGCAGCCCGGGGGGTACCACTGGAATACCCTCTATCGCTTGCCGGAAATGCTGGTTCCTTATTTTTCCTTGCAGACTCTGCTATGGATGCCTCTTCTGTGTTGCTCCTCGCCACAGAAGGATTATGGCACTCACTCTGAAAACCCTTCCCGGGTCCTCTACTGCCATCTAAGAGAGAGCTCTTCAACCATTCAGCAGCCCCCGGCTGGTCACAGCCAGATGAGACTCCAACACGGTCCTCAACACGTAACGTGGCTGGACCCGCAACGCAACCACTGACAGGTGATGGTACGTGAGCTGCCGTGCGCACAAAGAGCTTTGACGAGCTCAGATGATTACCATTAATTCGTACATGCGGCATCAACAGTTTCTCATCATCGTCATCATCGTCCTCTATATCATCATCGCTACTTTCCAAACACTTGCTGACAAGCACTCGAGGAAACTCAGCTGATCCTCCACGTTCCTGTTTCTGATCGGCTGTCCCCTTGATGTGGCGGTAACTGAAGTCATCTTGACACCACTCTCTAGGGGGGTTATATGGTCCTTTCAGCTTCCTCCATTGAGCTTCTTTCTTCTCCGATACTTTCCGAAGGCGCCTCAACGGTCTACAATGCGGCCTTGCTTCATTCTCAGTCTTGCAGGTGTCAGTCGATGCACCCGACCTTAGTTCCTGGTCTAGTGTGTTCTCAATCGGAGCAAACAGTCTTTCTGATATTCTGCATGATACCGTGTCGTACAAGCCCCCCACATCACCACCTCTTGAAGAACCCCCTTCACTATGAGTACCAGAACAGCTGGCACTGCGGCCACCACCCTCCCTGTGAACTCTGTTTGGCACCTTGAAACAGCCCCCCTGGTTCCGAGACCTTACTACAGAACTGTCATCATCATCGCTTGATATCTGCAAATACTCAGGGGCAGAGGACTCTTTACAATGACTGCTAGAACCCTTGAAGCCCTTGCTACCAGTTTTCCCTGCTTCTCTACTAGTACTGATACCGGTAACCGGAGATTTTCCATGTCTCCTTGAACTACAGTTCTGCCCGGCACTACGCATCGAGTCATTTTCCTCTCTCAGAAGATGGTTTTTCCTTTGCCACATCCCTTCTTTCAGCTCATCATCGTAATCCATCGCATCCCTCTCCTTCACCATATTCATTTTGTGCAAGCCAAGCGTAACACCTCCACCCCTCCTCCCATGATGCTGTTGGCCCTTCTTTAATATGCACGCGGGCAAGCCCCGTGAAAAAGACGTCTTCTCAGAACACCTGCTCTTCTGCGCTCTGGCCTCCCTTGCGGCATCAATCCGGGACTCGACCTGGTCCAGCCAGGACTTTCCTGGGAGAGAAGAAGACACACCCTTTTCCATACTTGAACCTCTAGTATCCATCCGACCTCCCGTAAAAGACGTCCTGATGTGTCCTGACAATGAAGTAGAAACATCTTTGTGCTTGCTTCCCAAATGAGCACAAGTGTGCACTTCCCAAGTGGAAGCCGAAGCATCTACCTCCTTGCATGCAATGCCCTCATCCGTTTCCCTATGTTCCATGTCAGAAGGAACAGGTTTTCCCTGCGCAGAGGATGCATCCCTCTCTCTGAACGCGGTGTGTGAAACAGAGAGCTCTTCCTTTGCAGACGAATCGTCCGACAAACATGAACAATCCTTGGCATCCTCGCCACTGAGCACAGCCAAGTGAAAAATCATAACCTCCCTTTGTTATCCTCATCATCATCCCCAAAGGCAAAACAGGGAGTCATCCATTCCAAGCACCACATTTATCAAGCCTCATACACTCCCACCATCTTCACCTGGGTAAAACGTCTGGTCATTATCACTGCATCTGGTCTGAAAGTTGCCCCCAATACTGCTATAATGACCGGGCCTTCTATTCGGGTGAAGCAGTACTGCAGGCAGCTATAACCTCCCTTTGTTATACTAATCATCATTACAAGCACCTCAAGGACAAAACAGGGAATCGTCCACGACAAGCACCGCTTCATGAAGCCTCGTACACTCCTACCGTCTTCACCCGAATAAAACACCAATCATTATCACTGCATCTGGTCTGAAAGTTGCCCAAATACAGCTATAATGAACGGGCATTCTATTCGGGTGAAGACGGTAGTGCAGGCAGCTATAACCTCCCTTTGTTATTCTCATCATCATTACAAGCACCTCAAGGACAAAACAGGGAATCATGCATGACAAGCACCACATCGTGAAGCCTCATACAGTCTTATTGCAGGCTGGGCCACCATTTCAAAGCTAACTCTTTTAAGCCCAACCAATTGAAGTACCTGTCAAATCTGGACAGACCGGCCTTTCAGGCCATTTTTATTTATCATTACAGTATTACGGGGAACCCCGTAGCAGCTAGCCAGTGCTCAAGCCTCAACGAGGGAACATGTGACCCAACCAGCAGGTGGGCGATAGCAGCCGGGGGTCAGCCGGTAGCATCAAGACCGAGCTTCTTCTTTGGGCCAGTCACTGTGCCTCCCCTCCGGTCCCCTCCCCCTGCGAACATCAGCAGTCTCTGCTCAATGCCGCTCGGGGGGACCAACAGGCTATCTCTAGGTGGTGGGCGCCAAGCTTTCCCACAAAGGTACATGATGCCAATCGGGATTGAACCCAAGACCTCCTGCATGCCACTTGTGTGCCTTACCAACTGAGCTCATCTCCCATGAGGCTCCTTTTTTATATTTTCTTGAAGTAAGAAAAATTGACGGAAAAATATGTTGTGTACAATTGCGATTGAAACGGTTTCACCTTTTGCAGTCAGAGATGCAGATCACAGGGCTCGATCCCCAGACCTTCCCTTACCTTACCTTCCCTGTCTACAGTATCAAGTCGACCCTGTGTGTCTTGAACCCGTGACCTGTGTGTTAGTAGTTGAAAGTTGTTTTCCGTAGGTCTGAGTAGTTGTCGGGTCTTGAACCTTAGACCTGTCGAAGTAGGGGTCATAGCTGCATAGGGGGCATAGTTGTTGTAGTTCTGAAGGGTCAAGGTCGTATCTGCTACAGTCCTGAAAGCTCAAGGTCGTAGCTGCTACAGCCCTGAAAGGCCAAGTCCACAAACTTCCGGAAGGTCCGGAAGTGGCCTTCCAAGTTTCTTCTCACGTTATACACAGAAGGCCAGAGGCAAGTGGGCAAGTGGTGAGTCCAACTTCGCTTAGTCAGCGGTACCCAGTCCCAGTCTCACTTTGTACAGTCAGCAAGTACCATGAGGGACTGCGTGCACAATGGGTCTGGTGGAAAAGGGCAGACAAGAGTGACCTACAGAAGTATAAATCAAGAGGCAGCGTCCAGCCATTCATTCATTCCTGCGGGAGCCATGCGGAAGCGCTGCCCTAGCGCCTTGTGCGAGGTGGTCTGCAGGTGCCCGACGTCGAAGTGGGCTGGAGGAAGATAGAGTATCCATAGCCAGTAGAGGTTAGGCAGCCATAGCCGCTGTTGCTTAGAGTGTGCGTGTGTGTGTGTTGCAGACTGTATGTGCGTGGGATATTGAGGGAGGTCCGAAGTCGAGTGTGTGTGAACAGTTGGGGGACACAGTGTTGGAGAGAGGATGTGTGGGCTCCCAGTCGCCATAGCCAATTGGAAGCGAGTTTGTAACTGAACTGTGTTCTCGGCTTGACTATCTCTGAGTTTTGCGTGGG